CCTGCAGCATTTTGTTAATGCAAGATACCAAGGTGTGGTGGTCTGCAAGAACCTGCTGTATTTGTGATTTTGTACACTTCTATTGAAAATATAGGGCTCCATTAGATGGATTTCACCTCACTTTCTGTCCTTCTGACAACATTTTACCAGCCATGAATTGAAGGGAATTGTCCAACAGAAACACATAGAGACATAAATAGTGAAAGACTAAAACCTTTATTAGATTTTTATTTCTGTCTGTTTCTATGTTGCAGTTTCCTGTCTGCTAATATGCTGTCAGTAGGGCGAGATATAAGGGGCAATCTCTTTAAGGGAGTCCCAGAGTACAGTAAAATTCAGGCAGTGGTTTTTATCCATTCCAACTTTCTCCAAAACTAGAAAAAAGGATTTTTGGCTTGATGTACACTTTACATAGCCAACATGTGAATGAGATGGCAGCATCCCAACAAAATATTAGATTTGGGGGGACATTTGCTTCTTAAGAGAATTTGCATTATTACCACATAAAGCTTTATTGGTAAATAATGTTCCATATGATCTTAAAGGCATTATAAAGGCATTAGGTTTCTTACCTTACTGCATTTTACACAGAAAAGTAAAAAAACAGTTCTGTATGTGGCAGCCCCCCTAAATACATACCTGAGCCCAATCCAGTGATATGCATGAGAGCAGAGTCTCTCTTGGCTCATTGGCTCAGATACAGCAGGAGCTATTGGCTCACACTGCTGTCAATCAGAGCCAGTGACAAGGAGCAGAGGGAGGGGCTGAGCCTCATTCTGTGTCTTATAGCTCCGGTTCACACCAATGTGATTTGCCTTCCTCTGGATCAACTGTGGGTATAGGATTATAACTTTTTTTTTTTAAAGGTTGAAATGGATGGACTTTTGTCTTTTTTCAGCCAGATTAACTATGTGACGCATAACTGCAAAGTCGCATTCCATGTCTTTCAATGGCCCCGTTCTAATCACTGAGACTCAATTAGCAGTGACTCCAAAAAAGGTTCCTGTACTACTCTTGTGTGACTTCATTGCGACTTGCATTGAGATGTATCATTGAAGTTGCACTGAATTGGCAGGAAGTCGCAATAAAGTTGCACAGTATAGTCAGACTTAAAATGGTGACTTTGGTGTCACATTGGTGTGAACTGGGGCTTATGGACACACAGAGCAGGGCTTGGGAGTGAGCAACGAGTGTCCCCAGAGCAAGCAGCTTGCTCTGGGGGCACTCAGCAGGTGAGGGACCCCAAAATAGGAAGACTGGGGCTGCTCTGTGCGAAACTATTGCACAGAGCAGGTAAGTATAACATGCTTGTTATTATAAAACAAAAAGAACCTTTATTATCACTTTAATATAATTATAAAATTGTTAATGACCAGTGATGAGCCGAATATACCTAGGGTAGGTTCACAGAAATATGATGTTTGGATGCTAATATAAATCCCATTGAAGTCAATGCAAGCCAAATTTTGAAAATAAATTCTGGCCACGGGTAAGGCTATGATTATGGTTATTTAGACTGAATTGCAAGGCGTGGCTATGTTCATGGCTTTTTCCCCTCCACATCACATTCTCATGGGACTTTTAAAACAATAGCATGTAGATCTTTATGAATAAAATCATATATTTGTATTTACAACTGTTGCACCCTCCGAGATAGGTGCTAGGTTTAGACAGATTTAGTTTGTATTTTGATTTTTTTAGTAAATTTAGTTGTCACACTGTAGACAGTGTGGATGTAATTGTTGTTAGGTAAAAGCATAACATGCACACAGAAAACAGCAACACTGATTATAGATAGTTAGGTCTACTCAGATGTTCAGCACCTGCCAGCCTGGATAATAGGTGTGGAGCTTAGCAAATGGCAGCATGAATTATGATATGGCCCTGGCCTATCCCAGAGAGAGAGGCTCTGAAAGCGTGCTGGGTAGCTGTATATATTCAGTGAGCACACTGAGTTCTGGGCCTTTCCCAGGGGCGGACTGACCATTTGGAAACTCGGGCACAGTAGGGGGCCCCATGAGATGCCCCTGGTACCTTTTTCATAGGCTTTTTTTGAGTTTGGGCAAGGACACAGGGGCCCCATGATCCCCTATTGCCCGGGGGCCCCATGAGTTGTCAGTCCGCCCCTGGTCTTTCCTGTATAGGATTGTCCCAGCATGGAGGAGGGCATGCTCCCAGGTAATGCTGCTGGATTTACTGCCGTAGGCCTCCAGTGGGCGACCTGAGAGTCTGAATGCTGAGACTTGGGTTCTGCTAAAGTTGACTGAGGGGCTGTCTTCTGAATATATGGTCTGGTATCACAGAGAAAGGTAACCATCTGCTCTTGGGCCTTGTGAGTACAAAACACACCTAAAGGAACTTAGAGACTGTGTGCTACTTTAACTTCTCTGGTGCAAGGGTGGCAGCTGTGGGTCTAGCTAAAAGGGACTCTGGCTGGAGTTCCGAAGAGCTTTATCCATTTAAATCTCCCAACTAAAAGGACTCTGCTCTAGTTACTACTACTGCTACTACTATTATTGCTGCCTTAAAGCTGACGTCTACTGTTTGTTTCAAGCATGGACTTCGTCATAGCTTATCCAAAAGAATACTTAACTACTTGCCCTCCAGAAGATTTACCTCCATTCCTGACCAGGACGCTTTTTGCTATTCGGCACTGCGCTATTTCAACTAATAATTGCGCGGGCATGCAATGCTGTACAAAAATGAAATGTATGTCCTTTTCTTCACACAAATAGAGCTTTCTTTTGGTGGTATTTGATCACCACTGGAGTTTTTTTTTTTTTTTTTTTGCGCGCTCTAAAACAAAAAAAAGAACAAAAATGTTGAAAAAAAATTATATTTTTCACTTTCGGTTATACAATAAATATATAGTAAACTCAAAGTTAGTCATAAATTTAGGCCAAAATGTATTCTGCTACATGTCTTTAGTAAAACAAAATGCCAATAAGGGTATACTAATTGGTTTATGTGACAGTTATAGCGTCTACAAACTATGGTATAGATATGAGAATTTATGCCATTTTTTACTATACAGCGCTGCGCTGGTTTAACTGACAATTGCACTGTCATGCAATGCTGTACATAACTGAAATTTATGGATTTTTTCTCACAAATAAAGCTTTCTTTTGGTGTTATTTGATCACCTCTGGGTTTATTATTTTTTGTGCTATAAACAAAAAAAAGATTTTGCTAAAAAATGACTTCAGACCCCCCAAAAATGTATATATTTAAAGCAGACACCCTGGAGAATAAAATGGTCGGGTGCTGCAGTTTTTTATGTTACATAGCTCTTGCGCAGACAATTTTAAGAGCAAATGTTTTGAAAAAAATCTTTTTTTTTAATTTGAATGTGCAAAAACACAATGTATTGGCCAATTGTTTGGTAAAATATAAAATAGAATGGTATGCTGAGTAAATAGATACCAAATATGACATGCTTTAAAACTGCGTACGTCCCGTGCAACGGTGGTAAACCACATATATTTTTAATATCCATATGCAACGCTTTAAAAGTCTTTACAGGCTACCATTTTAGATTTACACAGGAGTTCTAGTACCAGTATTACTGCCCTTGATCTGACGTTCGCTGCGATACCTCACATGCATGGTGCAACTGCTGTTTACATACCGACACAGGGCCGACACTGCTGGTCCTTGTTGGGTATACAGTATATGTTATGTTATTTTCATGCAGCCTGTGGGCTACATGAAAAAAAGAGAAGAAATCTCTGCCAGAAAAAGTGTGTGGTATGCTCACTATTAGAAAATACTGTTCTGCATCCACCAACTTCTAATGGTAAGCATACATGAAATGTACATTTTTTTTTTGTTCACCCCTTGAGCTGAACGGAAAAAAAAAAGAACCTAACAGATTCCTTTATTCACATTAATCGATGTGGATGAAGAAATCTGCCAAAAAAAACTTTTAAAAATACAAGACATTGCCTGCCTTTCCATGCACATGAACTTTAATGACATCCCAGTCTTGGTCCGTAGGGTTCAATATTGAGTTGGCCCCCCCTTTCCAGCTATAACAGCTTCAACTCTTCTGGGAAGGCTGTCCACAAGGTTTAGGAGTGTGACTATGGGAATGTTTGACCATTCTTCCAGAAGCTCATTTGTGAATTAAAGCACTGATGTGATGAGAAGGCCTGGCTTGCAGTCACTACTCTAATTCATCCCAAAGGTGTTCTATTGGATTGAGGTCAAGACTCTGTGCAGGCCAGTCAAGTTCCTCCACCCCAAACTCGCTCATCCATGTCTTTATGGACCTTGCTTTGTGTATTGGTGTGCAGTCATATTTATTTATTTCAGGTACTTATATAGCACTGTCAATTTTATGCAGTGCTTTACACACACACACATATATATATATATATATATATATATATATATATATATATATATATATTGAACATTCACATCAGTCCCTATCCTTCATGGGGTGTACAATCTAAGGTCCCTAACTCACATTCATACATACACATATTAGGGCCAATTTAGACAGGATCCAATTAACCTACCAGCATGTCTTTGGAGTTTGGGAGGAAACCGGAGCACTGGAGGAAACCCACACAAGCACAGGGAGAACATGCAAACTCCATGCAGGAGGTGCAATGGTCAGGAATCGAACCCATGACCCATTTACTGCAAGGCAGACGTGCTAACCACTAAGCCACTGTGCCGCCCCCATTTTTTATTCATATTGGACCAGGGGACCATCCGCAAACTGTTCCCACAAAGTTGGGAGCATGAAATTGTCCAAAATGTCTTGGTATGCTGACGCCTTAAGAGTTCCCTTCACTGGAACTAAGGGGCCAAGCCCAACCCCTGAAAAAAACAACCCCACACCATAATCCCTCCTCCACCAAAGTTTACACTTGGCACAATGCAGTCAGTTAAGTACCATTCTCCTGGCAACCACCAAACCCAGACACGTCCATCGAATTGTCAGACAGAGAAGCATGATTCATCACTCCAGAGAACACGTCCCCACTACTCTAGAATCCAGTGGTGGCGTGCTTTACACCACTGCATCTAACGCTTTGTATTGCACTTCGTAGTGCAAGACTTGGGTGCAGCTGCTCGGCCATGGAAACTCATTCCATGAAGCTCTCTACGCACTGTTGTTGTTCTAATCTGAAGGCCACACAAAGTGTGGAGGTCTTTGGCTATTGACATTGCAGACAGTTGATGACTTCTGCGTACTGTGTGCTTCAGCGTGCACTGACCCCGTTCTTTCATTTTACATGGCCTACCACTTCATGGCTGAGTTGCTGTTGTTCCCAGTTGCTTCCACTTTGTTCTAATACCACTAACAGTTGGCCGTGGAATATTTAGTAGCAAGGAAATTTCACGGATGGACTTATTGCACAGGTGGCAACCTATCATGGCACTACGCTTGAATTCACTGAGCTCCTAAGAGCAACTCATTCTTTCATAAATGTTTGTAGAAGCAGTCTGCATGCCTAGGTGCTTTTATACACCTGTGGCCATGGAGGTGATTGGAACACCTGAATACAATGGTTTGGAGGGGTGTCCCAATACTTTTGGCAATATAGTGTATATGCCAAAGCATTGGAGTGATCCACCCAGTAAACACCCAGGCCCCCATATATGCTTGGGCATATATGTTCTTTTTTACTGCAGATGAAAAATCTCATCCAACAGCACTGCACACACTAATGTATATTCTGAGAGCAAGACCCTGTTGCTGTCAGAATAAACAGATCGGTTCTGCAGCTGAATAGCAGTAACCATAAAACAGTAACTCAATAAAACAACAGCTATTTTTGTTTCTTTTATTTTTTCTTTTCTTTTTTACTAAAAAAAAAACAAAAAAACTGTAACCTCCAGATGCTAGGGTCTCTCAAAATGCAATAGCCAGTTTCCTGACTACCTAAAATTTCGAGAACCTGCATATAAATGTACCCTAAACTGTGCCATGCTGTACCCTATACTAATACTTCACTAGTGTATGGTAGCTAAGGAAGCAGTCCTTAAGGCAGAGACCAGGTTGGCCAGGACAGGAGGGACAAAAAAAGCGGGTGTTACGCCTACTTCCATGTCTGCTACAGAGATGACATATTTTTTGGGTTGACTTTTGGGAGAAAATGTCTCTCGTGCAGCCTGCTCAATGCATCTGGTTTGGTTTGGGGGTTTGAGCTACAGCACCTTCTGGATACAAAAGGGCTGTGATGATCTCTTACTGGAATTTTAGGAAGGATCCACTTCTTCCAAATGCTTTGTAAAGCACAAACGTGTTATATAGAGCCAATTGAAATAAATATACACTTTTTTGTACCAGTGTCTGGCTTTACAGGAAACTAAGTATGGCTTCAACATCTGGTCATTGAACCCCTCCCATGTTAAGGTTATAGTTGTGGACACAGGGGGGCTTCTCAACAACACTAGCTTCCATGGAGATTTGGATGGTCTTGTCTACGTGAATCGAAGACAGGACGAAAACATTCAATTTGTCCTTCCATGTAACTGCGAGCAATTCAACATTTTTCAAGCACGCTTTTTCCCCCTTTCTAAGACAGGTATTTACAAGCTGTTGAGGGAAGCCCCGGCGATTAGGTCGCACAGTGCCACATGCAGCAGTTCCAAGATTGTACAATGTCTAAATAGTGGCACGCTTGTATAAAAATTGTCCACGTATAAGTGGTACCCCATATGCAAAAAGGGTGACACCATGTCCCAAACTACCTTGCCACTGCTCCCCATGTAGTCTAGGCATCCGGAGGGCTCCACGTGACTATCTTTTCCCTCGCAAATCTGAAAATTACATGTATAGCCTCTCTCACAGGTCTTCTACATTTTGATCCCGTATCTGGCATGTTTGCTGGGGATAAATTGTTTGAATGGAAGGCAGCCAGAAAAATTATTGAGGGACTCATCAACGCAGATGTTTTGCTGGGGAGTATACACATCAATTCCTGGTTAAGGTGATTTACAAGGGACCAAATTTTGTGAAGCCAGTCATATTCAGGGTCACCCTGAGGACAACAGAGTGTGTTATCCATGAAATGCATAGATTGCATTATATTCCCTTGGCAGCAGAGAACACGGGCATATGATGAATCTGATCTGTGGACTAATACAACTGCAATTAATTTTTTTTAGTAATGCCCATGTTGAGGGTTAGGTTCAAACAAACTTTACATTCAGAAACTGTGATAGGTTTCCATGCAAATGGTCTGGAAAGGTTTGAATTTGGGTTGGTGGTGAAAAATTGTGCTTATAAATTGCTTTAATCCACAATCTATCCATACAGATCTTCTGGGAAAAACAGCTCCAAAAAAAATCAAGAAGAGTAGTTAAATTGGCTGTTTCCACCTGAATTCCAGGTTGGGCGGTGAATGAGGGAAGTATGGGTGCTGCAGAATTTGTGCGCTGCCAATCAGGATTTGCAAGCACATCCAGAAGGACACTATGGGCTCTACTAGCCTGTGTTTGAATTCTTGGTGGTTGTGGGACACTACTTGTGCTAGCCACTGCACCAAATTGTACTGCACTTATGAGACTCGCCACATCACTGAGTGATACTGCAGTGCTGGTATGTAGTACTGGCACTCTGCTGCATATGAGAATCATCGTGCAATTGTAACACCTCAGCAACCAGGGAATGGGGTAGGTTCGTGTGACCTTGGCAGAGACCTCTACTCCATCGTTTGAGCTATCTTTTAGGGTGCCGCTGCTCTCTACAGGTTCATATTCTGAGCCTTCTTCTGTCAGTGAGGTTTACCTTTTGCTCTCATCTGACAGAATTCTGTGGGTCTCTTCACTAGTGTACCTTTCGTTGGACATTTTGGCCGCTAAATTTATAGGTACCTAGTGCGACTCAAGGGAAAAAGAGCACCTGGCTGTCAGAGACTGCTTAAACCAGTACAAAAAAAAAATTACCTGCTAGTGCTAACAGAGATCAGGCCTGATCTTGTTAACCCTGCTGTTTTGTGTGCAATGTATAAAGTGACAGTGATTTACTGACACCGCACTTACTGGGGGAAAAGAGAGGGGGTTAAGCATAGAGGCTAATCACAGGTGATGGCAGTTGCCGAGTCTTATCCTGCTAACACTGCATTTTTGGGGACATTATACTATTGTGAACACTGGTATAGTTCTGATCTGAACAAAGATATTGATCCGTTCAGACACTATATTAGCAATGAAGGTTTATTGTGTATTTGAGTGTGTTCCTGGTAATCAAAGGGTTAAATGTGATGGTTGATGTAGTGGTGGCCAATCTGACGCTATGTGGGAGGGATGCTAACAGACACCAATGCTATCTGAAGTCGCCTGTGACACTAATACAGTCAGTGATCAGTAAAAAAAATCTGTACACTGCACTAATGACACTGGTGACAGGGCAGTGAAGGGGTTAACTAGGGGCAATCGGGGGTTAAATGTGACCTAATAGTGCTTTTACTGTAAAGGTGTGCTGCTTTGACTCACATGGATCTGCTTTAGTCTCTCTCTAAAACGGAATGTACTACAGGGAGAGTGCATCATTTCCTGTGTCTGTGTAATGTAAACACAGGCACAGGCTGAGGTCTGATTCGGTACAGCCGATCAGCAGATCTAGGCCAAACATCAATGACCTGTATCTGCTGAGTTATCAGTGCTGTACGGAATAACAGCACCACCGGGCTGGCGGGAGCGCACCCCCTGCCCGTGAACATGGTGGGAGCGTGGATTACATATACATATGTAATTTTGTGCAGGGAGTCCACGCTGTAGCAGTAAACTGCTATAGGGTAGAGTTTATTTGGTTAAAGTCCTTAACTGTAGTTCTGTTTTTGGAGTACCCCACCTAATTCCCTCAACCCTAACCAAGTTTGGTTTAAAAAATTAAAAACAAAAAAAAACAAACAAAAAACACCCCTAGATTGGTCATTGGTAAAATGTGTGAATCAGCCTATGTGTCTGGCTGCAGAGCAACGGTTTTGGAGAAGACTTGGACAGTATTCCTGTGGCTCCTACGGGAGTAGGACTACACATCTAAAAGAAATAAAATCATATAACAGCTGGTACATCATTCAAATACGTACATAATAGTGCAGTATGTCTGTGACACTACCCATACGTCCTTGATCAGGGATTTGCTACACATATTCATGCTTGACTTGTTCCCACCAATCCCTGAACTGGGATGAACCCAACGTGTTTCAACAATTCAGCCTCAGTGATAGAAGGGTGTGACGTTCTTTTTGGTTTGGAGACACATCTACCTATGTTATAAGCCACAATTTCTGTAGTTCCTGTGGCCTCGGTGTAAGTGTACCCCCCTTTTGTGCTAGCTCCACTTGGCCTGCTGATGGTTAAAGGTGGAGAAGTTTCTACATGCTCCAGATGGTTTTAACAAATGGCTAGTTGGTTTTTGTTTACAACTTGCATTTTATGTCAAAACGTCTACCCCTTAAGAAGAATAATCAAAAGAGGTTGGGTTCATCCTATTTTGGGGATTGGTGTGGACACATCAAGCATTATACAAATGTATAATAATTCCCTGATCAGGGATTTTTTTTTGTAGTGCCATAGATATATTATACTATTATGTATATGTATGTTGTTCCAACCTCTATGTGATTTTATGTCTTTTAAATGTCATAGACAAAGATTTGTTTTCAGGTATAAAGATCTACATGCTATTGCCTTAAATGTGTCATAGGAACGTAATGTGGGGATTTTGTCTAAGGTTAGGGATGTTGTCAAGCACACATACAGTATGTAGCTATCGCCACCATATTTTGTTGATAGCTTTTTTTTTTAACCCTATGCATCAATAAAGCATCGTATCATCAGATCCTGTTGAGTACCCATTATCATGGATGGTTGAACAATTCTGGCCATATTCAAGGCTAAAGGCCAAGGGGTCATGGGGATTGGTCACTTCCGGGGTAATGTACTGATACAAAAAAAAAATAATATTTAAAAATACCATCTAGCAGAGAGAGAATTTTTTCACTGAGCCTATAGCGCAACCAACAAAATATACAAATCTTTTAAGTAACATGCATTTGTGATGCCTTTAAGCTATATGTGATATTACAGAACATTATGATTCTCAAGGACAACATAAGAGACACCGCATACTGCCATCACATAAATTGCATGTGTAATAATTTTGTTTACTGTTACATAATTCCTTGGCTTACATACAGCAGCAGCAACCCAATATGAATGATTTCCACTGAAAAAAAAGACAACAGATTTTTTTTTCATGTAGCAATATTAGGCCAGGATTGAGCAGTGGAAGCTGGAAACACAATAGACCTAAAATCTATTGAAAGGTGTAAACTTGGAAAAATAATAAGCTACTTCAAACAAATTGACAAAAAGTGGCAAAACACATTTTATAGCATTGCTTGCGATTTTCTTTTAAGTACCACATTGCATTGTGTACAAAGTTAAAAAACATGTCAACACAGAGGGCACTAAAACACTTCAAAACCACAAACCCA